GATGCGTCGTTTGCTGTGTCTAGGCTTGTGTTTGGCGGTCGTGGCCTTCGGGGTCCGCGCCGAGGAGGCCGCCCAGAATGCGGAGGTTGACCTGGCCGACGCCTTCGAGGAGCTGGACGAGAGTGTGAAGCTCGACCTCGCCCGCATGCTGCAAGACATTTTCGAGAGTGAGTTGGTCCTGCTTGGCGCTGCGTTGGGTGTGCCAGGAGATAGGCTTCGGGTCGATTTGATGAGTTTACTTGGGCGAAGAATTATTCTAAGATTAGTTTTTCGTCGTTGGTGTTCTGTGAACAAATGGGTCAGAGTGAACGGATAAGGAAACATTTTTTGGGGAGGGTTGAGTAGTTAAGTAAACCCTGCAGAAGGGTCGCCCCCTTTTAAGAGTTATGAGTCATAAAGGGAAACAAAACCATTAAGTCCAGGCGGAGACGGAAGTCTGGCTCGTGCAACCTCTGCTCTGATGGGGCATTTAGGGCTTTCTTGCTATCATAAATCCCCCTGCATTATTTTCTTTTCTTTTTCATGTCAGTTAGATCTTCCGAGACAAGAAAAAATATAAAGAAAGAAAAGTCTTTATATAGATGGTATCATTAATGTTTCTTAAAATCTCTACGTATCTTACAGTGGTAATTTCAACAAATGCTTTAATCGCGCATTGTGAAGCAACACTTTTAAGTTAATCAAATATAAGCTGCACAATAATTTTCGCTGCTATCACAGCTACGACAAACACTGTGGTCACAAAAAGATATTTCTGACCAACCTCCTCAAACCCTTGCATTCTGACCACGTCTTCTGACCCTTGATGTCTCAAAAGGATCTCCCCGTTATACTGATCTTTATGTATACGCTGACCCTGTTCTTATGCCCATTCATGGCTTTATATCCCGGGTACACTTTATCATTCCGGTAACCTCTTGCAACCACTTTACTGCAACCTCTGTCAACCGTGCATTTTGTCTCGTTATTTTTCGCAAAATTATTGCCGTTTTTGACTATTTACCTACGTCTGCTCTCAGGGATTCACCAGATAAATCCTATTCCCTTTAGGTAATTTATGATTTTAGAGAGAGTTCATGGTGGTACTCGAATACAGGAAGAATCTCAAAAAATGAAATTTGGTCATGAGTTAAGACCCAAGTGGCCATATTGCTTCTTTTCAGTATCCGGTTAAGATTATTCATGGGTATCTTTTGTGCCTTCCTCTCCCTTAAATATGTCCTCTTATAACCTGAAATTCATTATTCTTCAACGATGATGAAAGTTATAATAGGTGTCTATTTGATCAGAGTTTTGAACACTAATGTCTTGCTTTCTCTTTTCAGTTGATGAGGATGAAGATGCCCAGGCTGAAGGAGGTAAGAACTCCCTTTTTTCTCTCTCTGAACGCATGTGAATTTTTATATTCTTGCTAATATATGATTTTTCATTTCGTATGTCATCGTATGTTTTTTTTTTTTTTTTTTGTTACCATAGTCATTTCCGTATATTGTACTATTTTCTTTCGTGTGTTTGTTTTGATTACTAATGCTCATTTTTTTTCTTTTTTTTATAGTTGTTGCCGAAGGTTCAAACCGAGAGGATCGTATGTATTTTATCAACGTATTTTTTATGGGTTGATATAATGATATATTTTTAGAACATTTAGTTCATCTGTCTGCCTCTTTCGCCTTTTCTGTTTTTCGTACACTATAGCTCTGTCTGCGACTCCCTTCCTCCCCTCTCATGCCTTCTCTTTCTCTCTCCTTCCCTCCTCTCCCTTATCTCACTCCTGCTCTGATCAACATAACTCTCTATGCACCTCCTCCTTGCTTTCCTACCTTCCCTTCCTTTCTGATCGTCTTCGCCCTCCCTTCTGTGCCATCCCCCTGTTTCCCTCTCTCTGATCGCCTTCTCCCTCCTCGCAGGTGCCCGTGACGATGTCGGAGACTCCGACAAGGCCATGAGCGACCCGAAGGACCTCTCCCGCTTCAATGGCTTCATCGACACCTTCTTCAGACGCCTCAACGCCTACTCCAGAAGCCGCTTCGACCCTCTCGGTTTCGCCATCGCCAAGAAGGGTGGCGGTGACAAGGGCAAGAAGGGCGACGGCGAGAAGAAGTAAGCAGCTTTGTTTCTATTTGTACTGCGTTTTTCTTTTCCTTTTCGCTAATTCGCACTGATTCTTCCGTCGCCTTCAATTCACGGTTTACAATCCTCTTCCTCCCACAGCAAGAAGAAGGGCGGAAAGGGAGAAAAGAAGGGCGGCAATAAGAAGGGCGGCAATAAGAAGGGCGGCAATAAGAAGGGCAATCGCCACCCGAAGGACCTCAACCTCGACGAAGAAGAGGAGGTGGCCGAAGAGACAGTAGAGATCCGTGAGAAGAGGGAGGTTGACCTCGTCGCCGTTGAGGAGGTCGAAGATGTAGAGGACGTCGACGAAACTGAAGAGGAAGAACAGGTATTGCTTTACCCTCAGCCGCCTGAGTTCTTTCTCTCAGGATCTGCTAATGTTTTGTAATAAGTATGTGCTTGAGGGGGCGGGGGGCGTGCAAGCGTGCGCAATGCGTTCGTATGCATCTGAATGCTAGATGAACTTAACAAAAACTCTTTCTAAAGGAATCCCTGGACCGCGTGAAGCGCGACGCCGATGCAGTGCCCGCAGAGGAGGGCGAGGCCGTCGCAAGGAAGGGCAGACCCGCCGGCGGTGCCAAGAAGGGTAACAAGAACAAGAGCGCCAAGAAGAGCAACAAGAACAAGAAGAACAAGAAGGGCAAGAAGGGCGGAAAGAAGAAGAACTCCAAGAAGGGAGGCAAGAAGGGCAGGAAGTCCTCCAAGGCCCGCACCACCCGCGCCTTCGTAACCGGCCTGGCCACTCTCGCCCGTAGCGGTGACGTCATCGTCCGTAACAGCGAAAACAACAAGCTGATCAAGGCTAACTTCCGCATGGGACCCATCGACCTCAAGGTGTCAAGGAAGGTAAGGAGAGCGCTGTGTTGCTTCCGTCAACAATCCCTTTGCGGTTGCGGAGTCAATTGTGTCTTTTGACAAAAAGAGCGAAAATATCCATGTAGAGAGCAATTAAAGCGCTTTTGAAACATATAAAATCATTCCGTTTTTGTAATCATACTTCTGTCGCAGTTCGGCAAAGGAAAGGACGCTGTGACGCGCAACGCCCGCGCCGGCTCGCCTCAGCTGGAGGGAAGGATCGCCATCAAGATCTCCCCCAACGGCAGGGCCAAGGTCTCCGCCTTCAAGGTCAAGAAGCCAGCCATCGTCAAGGTAATCAGCACGGATACTCTTCGCCCAACTTAGCAGAAAGTGCTTGGGGATTTATGCTATTGAAGCGGTTTGGGAATTTCAGCAGGCAGAGGCATCGGTGTTCTTATTTTCCTCTTCTCTCTTCAGGTCGACGGCAATCTGTCAAGGGCTGACAAGGACAGCACCAACAACAACTTCATGGAGAACTCCATTGGCAAGTTCGCTCCCTACGCCGCCCAGAAGCTCAAGCTCGCCAGCCGCGCCGTCCTCAAGGAAGCCGAGCCTAAGAAGAGCGAATAAGCTGTCTTCATGACTTTTTATCCACGAACAAAAGTATGAATGATACCGATGCAGTCTAGTATGCTCCACTTTCGTCGATAGTATGTCATACATTCACCATACATCAGTATACGAGTAGACGTCTTTGACATAGAGATTGTGTCTGATCTGCTGCGAAAATCAAAAGAGAAAAATCAAAATTTAGATGCATTCATTTGCTTTACTTTGCGCATCAGGCTGAACACCTGGATGTATTGACATTCGATTCTAAATTCTTCTAAATTCTCATAGCAGTACATTGAGATCATGGAAATGACATTGGTTCATACTCTAAATCTATAGTTCGCACTTTCTCAGGGTTTGTTTACACTTTCGATCCTCACTAGGACGCAGTTCGTTCTGCATTCTTTACTCCGTTTCAACTTCGTTGATAATCTTCACTTTCACTGACCTTGATGTAGTTTAACTAAAATGTTAAAAAGAGAAAAAAAATCTATAAAACAAACTAGTACAAAAAAGTTAAAAAAAGGGTCAGGGACGTCTCAGAAGGTGCACTCTCTGAGGTGTTTCTGACCGGTTCGACCCTCGGTATGAACGACCCTCGCGCGGCTCGAAGACGCACGCCCCCGAACGCCCTCCGCGGTACCCCCACCTCGGTCCTGCGCCCGCGCCGAAAGCAACTCCCGCCCACGTCCCGAAGCGCAACGGGAAGTGGCTGGGCGGTCGCGAAAGGAGCGGAGGCGGCCAGCGACGTCGTGGTGGTATCGCAGCCACGGATTTTGACGCCACGGTCTGCCATCAGAAGAATCACTCGCTTGACACGATACAGTGACGTGATAGAACATTGTCTCTTGCCCCATATTGCTCTGCAGCCCACAGTGAGCTTAGGTCTCACTTGTTTTATTTATTTATGTTAACTTATTCATATTATTAATAATAAATAGGCTAAGTTACTGTGCCTTTTGGTTATCCTTTTGAATGTTTAAACATGTACACACATTGTAGACACGGACGTAAACACACGCACACACATACACAATTTAAGAGCCATGCATGAGATGAAAAGGAGAAAATGAAGGAAGAAAGAGAAAGATGTTCTCAATGAATTGAATACATACACACATACGCACAAATCCGTACAGAGACACACTTACCAACACACACACGCATAAACACACACAAATCCGAACAAATACAAAGACACACAAACCAACTCACACAGATGCATACACACACACACACACACACACACACACACACACACACACACACACACACACGCACATATATATATATATGTATGTACAAGTTGACAGCGAATCCGGCAACTTCCGGAGCTGAGCAGTGTCGGATTTTTTAAAAAGCTTGATTTTTATGGATATGTATAGTGTATACAGTTAGCAGGAAAGTTCTTTGTAGGACACTAAATCCAAAGCATAGGTAATATATTATATGAATGATACACACAGAACCACCGCTATCAAGTTTATTTTTAGTAGTTCCACTTTTCTACAATCAATAACGTTCGATGTTTATGCCATCTCTCTTTTTTTGTTGCTGAATAAAAGAAAAGAAGAAACAAAGATAAGAAGGAAGAGCAGAAATGCCTCGTAGTGCAAGCAAGACCCAACAGCTGATTCTTGAGTACAGCACTATCAAAACAAATATAGTGACTACAAAAAAACAAACAAAAAAACAGTGGTTGATTTTAAAATGCGCGCCGAAATCAGTGTCGGATATCAGAAAGAACCGGATTGCTGATGGCCGGATTTTTGAGGGTCAACGTGTATATATACTTTTATATATATGCATATATATATAAACACACACTAAAAGATTTATTAATACAAATGTATATACAAACACACACAATACATGTTTATAAACATGTGGCCACACCCACGAACATACACAAACATGCACACACAAACAGACACACACACACACACACACACACACACACACACACACACACATACACACACACACACACACACACACACACACACACACACACACACACACACACACACATATATATATATAATATATATATATATATATATATATATATATTTATGTATGTATATAGATGTACTGTATATATATACATATATATACATATACATTTATATGCGTATATTATATATATATATATATATATATATATATATATATATATATATATATATATATATATATATATATATATTATATATATATATCAGTGTCTTTATATACAAATGTCTACACACACACACACACACACGTGTATATATATATATATATATATATATATATATATATATATATATATATATATATATATATATATATATATATATGTAAGAGGCAAAAAAACATGCTATGATACTTTGTTGTTAACATTTGTTAATTTATTTTTTATTTATTATTTTATCTTTTTGGACCGTGGTTACAGCAACGAATTAATCATAAGATACTGTTCCATTGGTAATTAAGGCATAGGTCAAGAATGGAGTGGTGTAAGAGAAGATTAAAAGGAAAGAAATGCTTACCTTATGCGCAAGTAAAATGATAAAAAAGAGACTGGTAGAATGAGTGAGGGTCTTGTTCTAGTTCCACATCATTTTGCTTAATGATTATTGACATCATTTGTAGGAAAAGGAAGGGTATAGAGTTAACCTTAGATCTAAATGAAGTTAGAGAATATTGCTTGTGTTTATTATGATATTGCTAAGCATTACCTTATGATAAGCCACCTGTTTATTATTTGTTTATAGAATATAAAGTTAATGGTTGAAAATGTTTCTATGCCCATTGCATATTTGGCACACAGTAAACAGAGGAATGAATTTAATCCACCCTATGAGCCTTAAGACTAAGTTTTAAGGCTTGTGAGGTGGATTGAATTATGTAATAAAGTTAAAATCAAAATTAGGTTTTTTCAGCATTTTCCTTAAATCCAAAATTCTGGGTGGTGGCGGCACAACAGATAAAAAACATTAATTAAGTTCATGACCATGTATTTGGATTGGGATTTTAAAATGATTGTTTTCTAATTACTATTTTGATAATTTCCCCAGCATTTAGCAATAGTACAGTAAATGTATTGATGAATATAGCTCAATAATATTTTACTTATGGAAATACATTCATCAATATATATATATATATATATATATATATATATATATATATATATATATATATATATATATTATATATATATATATATATATATATATATATATATATATATATATATATATATATATATATATATATATACTAACACTGATATACACATTTACCGATATAGTTCCCCTATATATACATAAAACATTCATCAGAAGGTAAAATTTACTGCTATTTTAGAAGTCCAAGATCTGATATGAGCAAGAGTGGTCGTACGGGCATGTGAGTGGGCATTTTGGTACGTGAATGTAGTGTGATTGGGTATTTTGGTAGGTGAGTGAGCGTGAGTGGGCATTTTGGTAGGTGAGTAGGGTGTGAGTGGGCATTTTGGTAGGTGAGTGACGGTATGACTGGGCATTTTGGTAGGTGAGTGAGCGTGAGTGGGCATGTTGTATTGAGCGTTTGTGGGAATTTGGTTAGCGTGTGGTGGGCGGAGCGTGTGAGTGGGGGCGGCTTTCGGTGGTATAGGTGTGGGCATGGGGAGGGGTTGTGAGTGGCATTTCGGTGAGTGATGTGAGTGGTGAGGGTTAGGTAGGCTTAATGAGTTGGGCGTAGGTTAAGGAGTGAAAGGGCGAGTGGGCGTATAGGGCAGTGAGCCGGCAGTGGGAGGGCGGCGAGTAGGCATAGCTGGGGCGAGAGTGTTAAATGAGTGGGCGAGTGGGATTGAGCGGTGAGTAGGCTTAGTCAAAGCGGGCGGCGTATATAAGTGACTGGCAAGTGGGATGCGGCGGCTGCAGTAGACAAGGTAGGCGAATGGTATATAGTGAGTGGGCGAGTTGGGAGTTTGGCGCGTTGAGTAGGCTA